GAGAACAATGGCAAAACGAAGGAATGCAGGGCGAAAACGTGTCAACTTTTGGAGAAATGCTCGTTGGAGACAGTTATTTCGACATATTATACATAGGGGTCTTAGTATTAGGATTTCTGGGTGTTCAATTGTTGTACTATACTCAAAATTTACTCAAAGTATCCAAGTTAAAGCGAGAAAAGAGTTACTATTGAGAAATGTACCTTGAAACACCATTTTTTATTCAATAAAAGTTTGTTTTCTTTTTATCAATTGCTCTTTACTGCATTTCTTTTACTTTGGAGTTATTTTCTTGATTGCATTTCTTTTATAAACTTTTACAATATTTAATCTTTTCAACAAACAATTAAAACAATCTTTTTACACTAATGAATGTTGTCGAAGTGTTCATCAATTTTCCAAAAATACATTAATAAAATAGTTATGTCCTCAGGATTCACTGGTTGATCCTGCAAGTAAACCAAAATTTTGTAAGATCAACGGTTGTTTACCAATTCTCATGGTAAACACCTCTCGACTTTGCGTTAGACATAACCTCTGTTGTGTGTGATACATGATGATATTAGACGAAAGTTTGAGTTGTGTATAACATGATTAGAAGAATGCATGTGTTATCAATTGATGAGATTTAATCTCAACAAGACTCCGTTTATATTTTAGTCTTTACTTTATATTTTCAGTCTTTATCTTTTCTGCATTTATTTTTGGTGCCTAAAATATTTCAACCAAACTTTTGCACCACAAGCTTAGAAATGTAAAGACTGTTGAACAACGTTCTTTCCCTTGCACTGATCCCTATGAAGACAATATAAATCCCGTAGGGAATTCCTTCAAAACTAAATTTTTGCTTTTTGCCGCTTTACTACAGTTTGAACAAAATGGCGTCATTGCCGGGGATTGGTGTTTAGATATTGAAGTGCATTGCAATAATTTCTATGTTTTTGAGCTTTTACAGTTGTCTATATTGTATATATTCTTGTTTCCTTTTACGTTTTCTTAAGTATTGTTTAGGGATGAATGATGATAACTTCTTCTAGATTGGTTGCTATTTCTATAAAAGTATCCAATGAAGATTCTCCCAAATCTGGATGGTGATCGTAGGATGTTAAGTGTGTAAATGCAAACAAGGTAAATTGTACCACTTTATAGAATGTTAAAATGATTTAAGAATTTTGTGTTTTGTGCAAATGTGTATTTTTGTTTCATTTTGCAACTTTGTTTGAATGCTTGTTTCTCTTAGGTCCAAAAGCCACAAATTATGAGAAACCCCCATTGTTTACTATATGATAGGATGACTGATAACTTTGTTTAATTTGTTTGATTCATGCTTAATCTTTTGATTATTGTGATTTTATGGAAGCATTAGAAATGATCAAGGAATTTATTTATATTAAGCACAACCGTATCCAAACAGTAACTTACCCGTGAGTAGTGAGTATTCGTTAACACCTTTGAGCCTAAACAGTTTAAATCTCATTTTAGTGATGAACTTGGTTTATGTACATAATTTGGAAGTATAGTTCATCATTGAATTTTGTGAGATTCTAAAAATTTCTTCTTGAACCTTTGCACATTGTTTTAAATTGAATTCCTTGCCATAAAAAGAAAGGAGCATTCACTTGAGGTTTGGTTGTATTTAATTGGGGATAATGAAAAAGAAGAATGGTAGGTTGCTAAAACTTTTGAAAAATTTCAAGCAAGCATGAAGAGAAAAAGTGTGAATGTGATTGTGAAAAACAAAAGAAAAAGAATGCTTGTTTGAAAAATAAAAATAGAGAATGAAATAATTGTGCATAAGAAAGTTTGATAAGGTTTGTAATAAAGGAAAGAAAGTGGTGAATAAAGTTGGAATGTGTAAATAACTTGTATAGTGAATGTCTCTTTTTGCATCGGCAATTTCAATTCAATGACCTTTAGAAATGACCATTTGTTGTGAACCCGACCAAGCTACAACCTTAAAATCCCATAGTGATCTTTTTTATTCCATATTTTCATTTTTGATTGTTAGATGAATGTATGAATTAGATTGTTATTAGCATCGTTTGTTAGGTGACTGAAATTTCCCTACGGTTGCAAACGCGTTAATTTCTTCATTCTTATTTTGAAGAGGAGTGTTAGAGTGATTCAAGTATGAGAATTTAGTTGTTATTTGAACCATTGTATGATATTTGTTTAAAAACTAAATTCTTTGTCATTGTTCGATTCTATTGAGTGGTGAGCATTGCTTGTGCGCATTCTCTTGCTTGGCCAACTCCTATTATTTGAGCAAATTTCTCTTGTTTGAATTTGAACAGTTAATCTTTTCTTGGTTGAATCTTTTTCTTGAGCAAATCCTCTTGTTTGAGCAAATTTCTCTTGTTTTCATGAGGGACAAACTTAGCTTGAGGACAAGCAAAAATATAGTTGGGGAGAGTTTGTTAAGTGCAAATTTTGACTTAAAATGAACTATCTTTCTTGACACTTTTCAAATAATTTCTCATGTTTTTATAGATTTAATTCTTGTTCTTGTGTGATTCTTCAATTATATTGCAAATACCTTTGGATTCTTTAATGTGTATGTTATTTTGCAGAAATTAGGCATAAAATATCAACGATTAAGACACATGTGAATTGGACAAGGACAACAAAGAAGTGAAGAAGAACCAGGAAGTTCAATGTGCGAATAAGAAGCGAATGTCTGTTGTGCGAAGTTGCAGCGAAGGACCAGCAAACCGGCTCTGACTGAAGTCAGTAGCTAAAGGACCCTGAGTTCGCTCTGCGAACTTGTAGCGAGGTAGTTTGCAGTGCGAAGAATTACTCGCATAACAAACTTCAGATATTTCTCAATGGCAGTTTAACTGTTCAGAGGCACTTCAAGTGCCTAAAAGTATGTTCACAGGGCGAAGAAAGGGTTCGCAGTGCGAACATGACAGGTTTTTGTTTTACTATATATGTATTCTTCTTGCTTTTTAGAAAACAACTTTCATATATTATATTTTTCACATCAGAATTTTATCTCTCTTCATTTCAAATATATTCTAGGAAGAGAAACTCAAACCCTAAGGGGAGAAGGTAAGATCTTCAATCTCTTGTTAGGTTTGAATGTAGTCTTTTGATACCTTATATATTTCATCTAAATCATGTATTATGAACTATTTTTGATTCTCTATGATGTTGTCTTTGATTTCTTATTTGTTGGTCTTGACAAAACCTTTTTAAAATCTTTGATCTAAGATCCTCTTCTATCAATGAGCAAACTTTTGACATGGTTTTGTGAGTTGATATTCATTTGCATCACATTTATTTTATTTTGTTGATTAAGTAGCATGAGTATGATCAATACGGTAAAGACTGTGATAACACTTGACAAACGGTATTGCGAGGATGCGTGATAATAGTGATGAAGAACGATGTTCGCATACATTTGGCAGATTAGGTGAATGCATGTAAAAAAGGGTTAATCATGTGTACGTATTTTGATCATGGCATTATATATGAATCAAATCATTAATTTGATATGGATGTTATAGTAATATATGTTGGGTCTAAACTCTAGACATAGATTTAGGTTTAACATTCTCATGAGTATCAGTTCTTAATGCTTTGTGTTGGTTTCGTTGCGTGAGATATCACCGATGAGACAATATGGTTGACCTCACGACTTTGCGTTAGACATAACCTCTATTGTGTGTGATACGTGATGATATTAGATGAAAGTTTTAGTTGTGTATAACATGATTAGTAGAATGCATGTGTTGTCAATTGATGAGATCTAATTCCAACAAGGCTCCGTTTATATTTTAGTCTTTGCTTTATATTTTTAGTCTTTACATTTTCTGCATTTATTTTTGGTACCTAAAACCTTTCAACCAAACTTTTGCACCAAAAGCTTAGAAATGTAGAGTTCGTTGAACGACGTTCTTTTTCTCGCACCGATCCCTGTGGAGACGATATAAATTCCGGAAGAAATTCCTTCAAAAATAAATTTTTACTTCTTGTCGCTTTACTGCAATTCGAACATATACTTACCCACCGTTTTCGCTATCTGCTCAAAGAAAGAGAAGTTACATGCATGGCATGGAATTCCATACCATCTCAACCACGTAACCCTCTCCTTATCAACATCTCTTGCCTTCCATTCTCTAATCTCCGAAAACCACTGCTACCACCATGATTCCGCCTCTCTGATAATATCGTAGATTTTTCCGACTTCGCTTTCCTCCAATAAACACATATTTGCACTCAAAGGTATAACCTTAATAGCGAAATAACCTTCCATCTCAAAACTATTTTGAATGTTGTAAGACATCCCATAATTGATAACTACTTCCACAAAGGCCTTCTTAAATCTCGCAATGTCCTCTGTCCTCAGGGATAAATTGTAAATAAACAGGAATCTTTCAAGGTAAAGGAATAGACTCAGTATTAGAGTTATTCACTACAGCTGCAAAGCAACGATCCCCTACCTTCACATCAAACCTACATAACCCCATTTGCTTTCAATGCCAGCTCTCCCATTCAGCGCGTGTTTCCTATTATTTTGAGCATTTTATATCATAGTATGGCATTTAGGTAATATGTTTTCAATAGTGTGGCATTATAGTAAAAGCTCCAGCAAAAGATTGATATCAAATAATGTTTGATTAAAAATTTTAATTTTAATTTTGTTAATTTCATGAAGTTGACATTTAACGTTACCAATTATTTGCAATCTCGATAAACAAAGTTTGGCTTAATCTTATTCTAGGATATCAGAAAGACAAACTTCCTAAACAAATTGTTTAGAGTGCACAGCAGGTTAGAGATACATGTTCTAAATTTTCCACATACAGCAATAAGTTAAATATATATTTGATTTAACTTATAGAAAGTTATTTCATATTTCACATATAAGAAGTTATTGCTTCCACCTGATGAAAAAAGCAATTTCAACACAAAATCAGATCATAATCATGATTTTCGAAAAGCAAAACAAAATTTCACTTACAAGAAGTTAGAATCCATCCCTCATCGCTCCATCATCACGGAAATGGCAACCTGAAAAGATCAAACGAATTCTATAAAGCACTGACACAGATAGTCGACACATGTGTCAGTGTCAGGTCGTGTTAGAGTCAGACACACATCGATATAAAGTGTCAATGTTACACACATGGACTACCCACGGCTATGGAGGAACCGGATTCGTGAATGCGATAGATTTCTTACCCTAACTTAAGATATGTGTCAGATGAATCATCTTCAAGAGAAGGTCCACTATTGCAGCTGCATACATTATTCATGGACTCACATGACACAATTTCCTGCATGGTAGCAACATCCAAGTCCCCCAAGAGAGGATTTTTTCCCTTAAAAAGCATAGCCATCTGAGAGAAACCTTGGTAACATCAAAATCAAAGAAAATATCATATGAACAATTCAAATGAAACGATGAAATTCTTAATTCTCATACCTTTTGCTTTAAATGGTTGTTCTCCTCTTCTAACTTGACACTCTTTTTTATCACATGATAAAAAAAAATGCAAAAGAAATTTCAGATAGTAGTAAAATTTATACACTTAATTATAAAAATAAAACATTCAACCGTTTCAAACAAACCTTTATCTGAAGTGCACCAATCTCATTCATAATTCTTTTTTCCTGAATTTAAAGGTTATAATTTATCATTAGTATCTTCAGTATTATAAAGCAATAGCGCACACAAGCAATCGTATATTTTATACTGAGTCCGAGTCTGAGCACGTCTTTAAAAGTGTGTAAGACAGATTACTACACATGATTTAAAATTTGATACCTTCATTTCAAACACACGCTTGAGTCCTGTTTCGAGTGTTCTCTCCAATTGCTGCAGCTCCTCTAAGTTTAATCCTTCAACATCTTCTCCTTTCAAGCCACTTGTGAAAACAAAGAAATACAGAATTTTATGCACAAACCTTAAATTTTTTTTTTTAATTTTAAATCTTTCATTTTAAAAAATTAAGAAACCTTAGTTGTTGGGTTTTATCAGCAAATTCCTTTTGCAATTCAGCTGACATGCTTTTCTCTACCTGAAATTAGCAAGCAAAAATAAATTAAAGCAACAATGTTTATGACTAACTAATTTATAAATATTTTTAAAAAGTATATATATTAGAACATGTTTTTTATACTTACCTGCAGTTGTAGAGTTTTGTCCAATTTGTTGTTTTGTTGGGAGTGCTGATTATACCTTGTAATTATGTCCTTCATACTTTATCAAACCAAAATAATAATTAAGCATGACGAATATAAGAGGTAGGTTAAGCATGATATCAGACATAATATAAATAAACATTTTGTGAAAGGATGTTTAATTAATAGCCTTTACACTATTTCATCATCTTAGAAAGGGTGAAGCAAGGTAGAGAATTCAGATGTAACAAAATTGATTGTGTTGTTAGTAATCTCAAAGTTAGTTAGATACTTGGTTGGTGTGCAAGTAACTAATGAACAAATATTCTAACATTGTAATTATTTTGAGTTAATGCAATTATTCTCCTTCCTCTTCCAATTTTCATTTCTCTTTAAATTGTGCAAAGTGTGTGTGAGAAAAAGAACAAACCTCGAGCAAATTTGAGTGGGCGTGTGAACATTACCAAAGAGATTGGTGTTTATGTTTTGTCCGAGTTTCTTGGTTCTAACATCTGGTATTTAGAGTCTGGTTTGGATTCTTGGCAGATCTTTACAATAGCCTCTCATCCAAATGGTCATTTCCCTACTAATCTTCTCATATTGAATGGAAAGAATTACAACACTTAGTGCAAGCAAATGAAGGTGGTTTTTTGCTATTAAGATGTGTGGGATCTTATAAAGAATGGAGTGACACTAACCAGTGATCATGTCGTTGATGATCAGAAGAATACTCGTAAAGAATTGAAGAAAAAGGATTATAAAATCCTCTTTATAATTCATCAATGCATTGATCTGGATGATTTATAATTCAACGAAGGAGACATGGAATATCTTAGAAAAGTCATTTGGTGGTGATGATAAAGTGAAGGGAGTGAGGTTACAGACTCATAAAAGATTGTATGAATTGCATCGGATGGAAGAAAATGAGCGCATATCTTATTTCTTCACGGGGGGTGACTAGGTTGATAAATCAAAACAAGACGTGTGGTGAAGTGATAACAACCAAGTCGATAGTTGCAAACATTTTGAGATCTCTACTTCCAAAATTTGATACATAGTGGTAGCCATGGAAGAATCCAAGGATCTATCAAGTTTGACAAAGGAAGAACTGGAAGGGACCCTTGAATCACATGGGCAAAGAATGGTGGAGAGATCTGCGAGCAAAAGAAAAATTGATGTAGCATTGCAAGCATAATCTGGGAGAGATAGAAAGGGTAAAGGAAAATGGAATGAAATTAGAGGTAGAAGTTGATACGATAATTTAAATGCTAGAAGTCACCAACAAGAAGTAAGTTCATCGAATCAAAAGTAAGTTGTAAACCAAGGAGGTCATAGAGGTGGTTTTGTCAATAGAGGAAGATAAGGAAGAAATAGGCTTAACAAGAGTAACATCTAATGTTACAATTGTCAAAAAAAATTCCATTTTGCTGATGAATGTTTCGCAAACAAGAAGAATCAAGAAGATGATGCAAAACTTGCAAAACAAGATTATGAAGATATGTTGCTCGTGGTGACAACAAAGAAGCAAGAGAAGTGTAAAGATAAATGGTATTTAAACTCAGGATGTTCATCCCATGTGACTGGTAGGACAGATTGGTTTATCAACATTTGCAAATCCATGAAGAACAAAGTGAAGTTTGCAAATGATAGCACCCTAGAAGCTGAAGGCATTGGTGATGTCTTGATCACGTGGGAAGATGACAAGCAACCAATTATCTTAAATTTATTGTACATTCCAGGTATGAAGAGAAACTTGATAAAATTGGCCAACTGATTGAAAGGAATTACAAAGAGTTAATATAATACCCAATGATGAGAATACATGACTCAACTAGTAGGGATGAATAGCTATTGCACTATAGGCTTGGTCATCTCAACTTTAGGGATATCAGTAATCTAAAGAGGAAGAATATGGTTTCAGGCTTGCTTGAAATTCAAATTCTTAGTGAAGTGTAAAGAATGTGTGCAGGACAAGCAACATAAGAATAGCTTCAGCAAGTATGCAACAAGCAAGTCTAGAGCTTCTCTTGAAGTCATATACTCATATGTGCGTGGTCTTATCTAAGTTGATTCAATTGGAGGTAACAAGTATTTTGTTACATTTATAGATGACTACAATAGAAAATTATGGACATACTATATTAAGAAGAAAAGTGATGTGATTGAAGTGTTCACTAAATTCAAATCCATGGTGGAAAGGTAAAGTGGTTACAATATCGAGACTTTGAGGACTGATGGTGGAAGAGAATATGTATCAATTGATTTTGATGCATTATATGAAAAAGAAGGTATTCTGCATGAAGTGGTGCCACCATACACACCTCAACAAAATGGGATTGCAAATAGAAAGACCAAGACCACCATGAACATGGTGAGAAGTATGTTAAAGGAAAAGCATCTTCCTAATGAGCTATGGGTGAGGTTCTTTCCATTGAAACATATATTGAATAGATTCCCAACCAAGATGCTAGAAGGGATCACACCTAGAGACTGTTGGTTTGGTATTAAGCCAAGTTTAAACAACTTGAAGGTATCTGGATCCATTGCACATAGATATGTGTCTAACCAATTGAGAATAAAGCTTGATGAAAAATCAATCTAAATGATCTTGATTGGATATTATTCAACTAGTGGCTACAAGTTGTTTGATCTTGTGAATAGGCAAATAGTGACCAGTAGAGATGTGGTTATAGATGAACAGAAATAATGAGACTCAAACAAAAATGTTAAGAAGGATTCAGTCAGAATCATGTATGAAGAACCAAGTTGTTAAACTGAGATGGAGACTTAAGCATATACAAGCAAGATTCAAGTAGGCACCAACAGATCTCAAAGAACTATAAACATGCTAGCCATATTACAAGACGGTGTGGTCATATCAGATGATATGGTCAATGATGAAGGTGAACTAGTAAACTATGCTTTTTATGCAGATATTGAGCCTGTAAATGTGAGTGATCCATAGAAGGATCCCAAGTGGATGAATGCTATGTTAGAGTAGCTGAAATCCATAGATTTCAACAAAACTTTGTATTTGTTATGTGGCTATCTACTAGTAATTGCAGTTGTATGTCGTATTGAAAGGTAATTTAGTATTTTAATATGTTGTCTATGTGGTCTTAGTATTTGAGTATAAATAGACTAGTGGTAACTGTCATTTATTTTATCCATCTATCTTTCATAAAGCTTTTGTAGCCGTCATTGTAGAGCAATAAATATATTCTCTTATTCTTATTGTTTTCATCACATTGTGCACTAGCTATTGGTATCAGAGCTTCGGTTTGGATCCATATAGAAACACAGGAAACACGAGTGAAATGGTGAGGCGTTGTATGATTGATTTCGTTTCTTGAATTCGTGTTAAATAATCGTAACAGAATCACATTTTCTGATTCTGCGGGATTCGGAAACACTGTGTTTAGTGAGATCTAAGTGACTTGAACAAGGTTGAAGGTGAACAAAAATGGTAGTCTAAGCACCAAGCTTCTAGTGTTTGATAGCAAGAACTGGAATTGTTGGATGATTCAGATGCGTGTGTTGTTTGGCACTCAAGATGTTCTTGATCTCGTCAACAAGGGTTACATTTTAGTTGCACTTCTACAAAGTGTAACTGATGCGTAGAGAAATACTCAGTGTGATATGAGGAAGAAAGATCAGAAGGCGTTGTTCTACATCCATCAGTGTGTGAATGTGAACGTGTTTTAGAAAATCGCTAATTCGACCGGTGAAGGCTACGTGGGACACACTAGTTAGGTGTTATGGTGGTGACGCATCAAAGAAGAAGGTGAAGCTTCAGTCTCTATGAAAGAAGTATGAGAATCTCAACAAGAAGGACAACAAGAAGGTATCTGAGTACATCTCCAGAGTGATTCTTATAACTAATAAAGATGAAAGCTTGTGGAGAAATCCTTTCTGAAAAGTAATCATTGAGAAGGTATTGAGATCCCTTACTCCTCAGTTTGATTACATTATAGTAGAAATAGAACATTCTAAGGATCTAGACACCATGAGAATTGAAGAGCTGCAAAGCAGTCTAGAAGCACAAGAGTTGCGTTTGACTGAGAAAACTTCTGAAAGAGAAGTAGAGTAGCAGACTCTAAAAGTAGTTTTTGGTAATAAGCATCAAAAGCAATCTTGGTCAGAGTCCAGGAGAAGATCTGATGGTGTTCAGAAGTTAGAAACCTCAACTTCGAATATGCAGAAGAATGCTCAGAAGGGAAAAAGAGGTATGACAAGAAGAAGATCTAGTGCTACTGTTGTAAGAAGTTTGGCTACTTCGCTGTTGATTGCTGGTCAAACAAGGAAAGGAAGTCAGAAGAAGCAAACATATCCAGAAGAGATTTTGATGATGAATATGTGCTACTGATGGCTTCTGAATCTGATGATACGAATTTGATAGACTGGTGGTATATGGGCATTGGCTGCTCAAATCATCTTACTAGAAATAAGAAATAGCTGGTTGACTTTGACTCTAGAAAGAGGACAAAGATCAGATGCGTTGATGATAAATACCTCAACACTGAAGGTATGGGAAATGTTATAGTTGTTCTGAACATTGGGAGAATAGCATTGATTTAGAATCTGTGGTATGTACCTAGCATGAAAAGCAATCTGATGAGTGTAGGGCAACTAATTGAGAAAGGTTTTTCATTACCATGAAGGACAGTCTTTTGAAGCTTTATGGCTGTAATTAGAAGCTGATTATAGAGTCAAAACAGGGAATGAATAGAACATTCAAGGTGAATGTCAGAACTGCAGACTCTAAATGCCTTAGTGCAACAAGTGTTATGAAGGAAAGTGAGCAGTGGCACAGAAGATTTGGTCATCTGAATTTCAGAAGCTTATGGCATCTGAATTCGAAAAAGCTGGTACATGGAATTCCTACAGTTAAAAAGCCTGAGAAGTCATGCAAAGTGTGCATGGAAGGAAAGCAACCAAGATTTCCATTTGCATCAGAAGTAGCTTCAAGAGTAAAGCATGCCTTGGGAGTAGCACATTATGATATGTGTGGACCATTTCCAGTAGCATCGATTGGAGGAAACAAATACTTCGTGTCATTTATTGATGAGTTCACAAGGA